CCATTTTGAACACCCGATTACACTGCTATACGTATAAGCGGTGGTCCTGACTAATGTTGTAGTGAAGTTTATGCGACCGATTACACTTCACAGCCATTAGCAGTCTGTTCTCAGGCCATGAAACTTTTTTGTGAAGCTAGCGAATAGCAGGCAGTTTAGCAGATAGCTGTATCTATCGGTGATCCAGAGATCGAACTCATACTGTATCGTAATACTGAACATAGAAAAAGAGAAACTGCCAAGATCGTACGTAAGACCTAGGTGCGTTGTGTAAAAGGAAGGTGTTTGCAAGTTTGAAATAATGAAAAAGATTTGCGCCCACCAAGCAGAATTGCTAAAGAAGCACAATTCGGCATTATTAAGCTTTAAATTGCAGCTGCAGTGTAGTGTGGTTTTTATTTTAAATCGACGAGGTGATCAAAACTTTCCATTGGTGTCCAGGCGACCGACAATAGGATGGCGCATCGTTAGCATTTAAAAGCCTTTATCACTTTTTGCGCTAGATGGTAGGGTAGAGTTGCTCTCTTGCCGTAGTTATTAAATTAATACCGAACTTGTCCATGCTAGGTATTGGTGTCGAATAGGGCGGAAATACCTTACTCGATCTCGTGTATTGGGTAATCTTTAAAAGTTGTTCTGATACCGATTGCGATTGCCTAGCTTAAAGGTTTTCAATAACTTGCAATCCTTCTGACAAGTTGACCCTCTCGCGATCCTGCAGCTGAACCAAAAGGGGTTCCTGACTCCAAATGCGGCTGGGGAAGGGGAAAAGATTTTACGCTCCCGGACGAATTGTCTAAGAGTGAATTTCTTGGATAGTTTTGCAATCCGCTTAGACGTCGGAGTCAAATTCACAAATTCAAAAAAAGCAAGAAATTCATTTGGATAAACAAATAAGGCAATGATAAAATTAGTAAACAACTTATCATTCTACGATTACACACATCTCTTTACTAAAATCATATGCCACGTGTCCCTTAATCAAGTGATCGTCCCCTTGCTATCAAGTACCTCCATAATGTACAATCACGTATCTCGGATCGCGATGGATATCGGAGAAGTAGATTGCTAGATGGACAGTTCAGGATTATCATCGTAAAGTGGGGTATGCGATTGCAGATTCAGAAGCGTTTACTTTCGATACACACGATTGCTCTTGACCAATAAATGAGCTCTTATACAAATCACGCAACTCAATGCAATTTGTTTTTCTCATCTATTTATCCATGCATTTAATTTGTATTCCAACTTTTTAACTTATTGTAATCCTCTAGGATTGAAAGCCGCCGTCTATCGAAATGACACTAGGCTACATAAAATGGCGAGTTAACTAATACTTAAACATTTTTTGTCGTTAGACTGTCGCATATCGATTGAAATGGGATTAAAAGGTAGGCCCGTTTAATGTGACGTAAGCCTTGGTAGGGGGTAAGTCTGTAAGGCCCAGTGCAGAAAAAATTTAGAATGATTTTTGGATTTTTGCCATTACTCTAATTTTTTTTGAAAACGCTTGGATTAAATCAACGGTCACGAAGCATACGTTGCAGTGTGTGAAATCAATTAAAGTTATTTTATACGTGTTTAGACACTGTAATCAGGCATTCCCAAATAACACACTCCCGAAATTATGTATCTCTATTGATTCAACAAATATAAATATCGTACTGCGCTGCCAGGTCGTTTCATTGCTTCTACCCAAAACTTCTAGGCTGATGAGGTTTCCTGAATTAATCGTTATCAGATCGTTCGACAATATCGACGACAGCACGAGGCCCGAAACATCATTTTTAAAGCACAAGGCCACATATACCACGTAATCCGAGTAGTGCGTTAAAAAATTCGGTCCATTAATTTTATTTTAGTCTTTGCAAATTTATAAAATGGAATCTGATTTATTTCAAAAGCCTTTTACCAGGCACAAGTACAGAAAACACGCACCACATGTAGGGGTCGTGTTAAGCTTTTATAACTCGGACCAGACGTGTGACCCTTACTCTTATGTAACACTCACATCCTTTATAATTTATGCTATGTCCACCCTATAAAATGCCGATTAAGTGACTCGAGGCCATGAGGGATAATTGATTAGTTTGAAGACCATAAGATACAACATTTCTCGGAATCCTGTACAGAAGCGATCCACGCTTAATACCATATTCATAACAAGGGATTCGTGACCTAATACGAGTTTTAGCCATACCACATTATCACCAGGAAGAGTAGAAAAAACAAACATGACTTGGAAACTCTACTTAGAAAAGCGAAATATCGCTTAAAATTTGAATGCGAATAAAGTGCTATAATAGACATCAAAAGCAAAATCGGAAAGCTTTTTTTGTAGAGTTAAGAGCTCTTTGGCGTTGCTTTTAGGGACCGACCGTCCTACCTGAAAAGTAATGTACACGTTTTTTTACTGTGAAGGAATTACAGAACGAAAGCTGACAAAAAAATGCTTGGTACTTACGGGCAGCAAAAATATTGCATCTACAGCATACAGTAAATATGATGTGGTTTTTGTCAGATGTCTTTAGTAAGCTACATCAGTGACAAAATCATTATCATTTCCTTTCTCAATGGAGGAAGGAGTTTCATCAGATAAATTCTCTTTACAAAATTTGTCAATTGCGTATTGTGATAACACTTTGTGGTTGACAGCTTTATGGAGCTGGATCATTCAGGTCGGACTTTTTTATGTCCGTCTCTTCAAAGTAACAACAAATGTCACGAGTAGATATGAAGCAAACAATCCATTAGCGAGACAGAAGCGCAAAACCCATTCCTAGCCACAACACCCAGAGTGGTACGCGAAAAAAAATAACTTGATCATATTCTTTGAACTATAAAATTGCTCCAATGGGCAAGATTTGGACATTTATTTCTCCATCTTAGGGGTACATATGCATTACTTCTTTGCAGAACTCTATCTTCTGCAAATTTCTTGTTAAGGGCAGTATCATATTACGATTGTATTTTCCCAAAAGTAAGTACTACTACCTCCCTTTTTAGTGTGATACAGTCAATAACGAAATATGTGGTAAACAATTACAGCAACACACACAACTGCTTATTGAAATAAATTATAGTGTCAGACGCCAGATCTTTCGCTTAGTAGATATTCTAAGTATTTGAAGAGGTCGAACACTTGCTTTAATTTACTGCTTATATGCCACTGAGGTGTGTGTAATTCAAAATAGAAGTAGTAATTGATGGAATTCGTTAGATGCAGTGCCTCTTCTTTCTTTATGTAGACACGCGTAACAATAGATTGTCGTTAGTTTTTATTTTGGTTGCTAAGTACATCTATTTAGTCCTTATACATTCGTAAGTCAAATTATAGTTATTAATGAAAGGCATCGCCTAGTGGCCTACCGGACCAACCAATTGACTTTACCTTCAGACTAGCAAATGCCATACATAAGATGGCGGTAACGCTCTTGCGTACTATTAGCCTATCATCACAGGTACAAGGATAAGAAAGCGTATAAGTTTTGCAATAACTTCCTTTTTTCTGACTTCTCATATAAAGTACTTCAAGACCACAATTTTGCATCCAGCAGAGCAAACACTCCAATTCGTATTTAAAATCGACAGGACAATTACGCGCAGCTTTGAATTTAATTTGACGGACAAGAAATGTTGTATATTCATAACCAAAAAATGAATGGAAAATGGGGAAAGCCGAAGACGAAAAAGACAGGAATGGTGGCGAAGAGACTATAAGTGCATTTGTGTACATTTACAGATCATCAAAAACAGCGGCACAGATGTCACACGATGAAAAAATGAGGTCGTACAGAACCATCATAAGTGTAGTATCGCGTGCATAAAATTACAAATTGCAATCATCATCACGCAATACTGCACGTTACTGCTCTTCTTATAATCAACACATCTAAAATGGTAGAAATGCGCATTTACGTGAAAATGACTTACTCTCGTTATTCAATGATATGTTATGTTTTTTAATAGTTATGCCATCGTCAAACTTCCGCAGAAATTGAGAGCCGCTGTGACATTTACCCGGCTCTCCACAAGTTTAGGATGCGTCGTTTAAAGTGGTGGCTAACTTTGTGTCACGAATATCGCGAGTGCAGAAGGATTGAATTGGACTGACCAAACGTTTGTAGTATAAATGCTAGAGATGACATATTTGCGGATGACTATTACACAAGGTACGATCTTTAGGTGTATGCACTAACGTGACTTCTCGTTTGAGCAGGCTGGTACCGTATTATACATGGTTGCTAAACGGGTAGATTATATACATATATTGGCCAATCAGAATTATCTGGTTCAGATGATTACTTAATGTAAGAAAAGAGAGCGAATCCGATACCCCCCTGAATGATTAGGGTGCAATTGTCGTGATCAGGCATCCTCGTATGGAGTGCGCATGAATAGGCGAGTAGGTGTACGTCATTACGCATAGCGACAGCTTTTACGGGGCATTCTTTTTTGGGGGTGCCGCGAAACTTCAGGTACACTAGTACGTTTATAGGAAACTAATTCAGTCTACAATTAAGCTGAGTTAGGGGTAAAAAGAGAGCTGCATGCAATTAAATTAGGCGATTAATTTAACTCTAATCTTTATCTAATTACACTAAACTACGTCGTCGAATGACGACAACCTGCTCACCACTCATTGCGCGCGTCTAGAAGCGATTGGTGGTAGTGTATTGTTGATATGTCTTTAATCAACCTGTCTTGAGCAGCGCATGAATATTATTCTGAAAGGGGACATTTATCTTCAATTGTTTGCATCTCGGATAGTATTGGTAGGATATAGTCATGCTGTACAATATCCCTATTGACACCGTTTGGTGTCAATATCATGTAATGGGCTACCTCGTTACATCACCCCCCTCTCAACAATCCATCACCCGTTGATTTATCTAGAATTGATTGAATCATGGTGACCACTGTTGGATTGCTCTGGTAAAGGGATCATTTGTTGGTCAAATTTTACTTATTTGCCGATCCAGCGCATGGTTTCTAATTCCATGCGAATTGCTACTGCAGCAGCAAGAAAAGCGGCTGCACGCATGCTTGCAGACGGAGACAGTTCTTCCCAAGCCCCAGCAGCAGGTGATTCGTCGCCTGATACTGTGAACAGTACACGTGGTGACTCACCACGTGCGACAGGTACATCCGCTGCGTCTGCAGCGGGGACTGCGAATAGTAATCTGGATGAGTTTGAGATAGAGCTCATCTGTTCTGGCGAGTCAGATAAATTGTCCGACTCGACGGCGACACCTCACGTCTCCGGATCATCCGGGGCGGACACTGCAAAAGACAGGTTTACTAGATCTAGTCAACGGGGCGGTATCACGTCCGAGATCTTCAGACAACCAATTGTTCCGACGAATCTCCGCCTCACGCAAGTCATCCAACGATAGGACGCGTGGTGATGCTCCTGAGCACCACCACGAGAGAAGCGGATCGAGAGATCGAGCTGTCACTGGTGTCAGTGCTCATGCTGACTCCACTCAAGAGGCCTGGGACCGCAGTGTTCTGCGCCACGCTCCTCAAGTGGAGTCTCCTTGGATGTAGATATCCAAAGAGTTGGACCGGTTGGCCGGCATGACCACCGATCGAAATCAAATCCCGTTGTTCGACTGTAGGAGGATCTGTCCACCTGATTCCAGCAGGGGATTTTTCCGTGCTGAGGAAGAGTTCTTCACCGATGCATTTTTCAAACATCGGTGGTACAATGGTGTACGAGACGTCAAAGGCCTTTGTGCAAGGATTGAATGCCCTCATCCATAACATCGAGCGCATTGGCCGTGAGGCCTGGCTTGCCAAACTTGGTGCAGCTCGCATCAGGTTTTAGAAGCGCATACCAGTCGGGGTGCAATACAGAATGCACCGGCTTTCAAGAGAGGCTGGATTATCCTGTCTCTCTTGGGGTGATTCATGTCCAGGTTGCCTGGACAACTCAGATCGTGCCCCTAAAGAGGCCTATCTTTCTAATGATCCCTACTGGAGGGCGCGCATCTCTTCTGAGATGGCCGAAGGGATTGACACCTTGCAATTCCTGAATTCACGTTCGGGGATGTCGTTTTGAGACTGCCCTTCTTCGAACGCAGCGAGTGGGTCTCGTCATACTACTCCAGAAGACCGGGGACATAAACCATCAGCTAGGCACGAGGCTCCCGGCTGTTTTACACTGGTGGATAGCCATACCAGCGGACGAGGTAACTCTTCCGGACGCCATTCACGTCGCGGTGGTTCAAAATAAGCTCCACTAGAAAGCGTTGACCATCGCCTGAGTATACCAAAGGATGCGGGGCGGCGGGAACACCTGATCCGGCTCGAGAATCGGATCAGCTTGATGTACAGGAAGTGAACCGTGTCACGGAACAGTGACACGATGACCTGGATCATGAACGGACTCGGCGTAATGAGCTCCATAATCTTGTAAAAAATATATACTATTCATTAGCGCACGATCTTTAGGACGATCGTGCCGCGTTTGCGTTCGCACAATTTGAGAACGAGATCATTCTCTTCGTGACGAGCTGGCTGCATCTCGTCAGGACATTGCTCAACTGCGTAAGCAGGTGGCTTCGCTTTCGACCATACTGGCTCGTTGAAACGGGACCACTCGAAGGTGGTCTCGGCCCTTGACCGCGGATGTGAACTTCGCCTCTCGAATCGGGCTCGTACTGATAGCACGGGCGGAGACGCCCAACGTAAAACGTAGGATGCGTACGTATTATATAAGTTAGTTTAATCGTGCATGCGTTGCCCATTTGGCGAAACACACAAAATGGACCAATGTACTTGGGCAGTAATTTACTGTTGCCCACGTTTGTCACTGCGTGTTTCGGTAGATTTACTGTAGACAGCAAAACTAATTATTCTTCGTTGAATAAAAGAACATTTGCTCTTCCATTTTTGTCCGCATTTGTTTTATGTCTATCAATTGCATCTGCAATAAGTCTTGAATGAAGCGGACGACCGCTTCGCGAGTCAGCAGAAATTCCTTTGCTGATTCATCCTTGCCAATAGCAGTGCGCTTCGTGTGCACTGCTGAAAGTACGTTCTCTTCAGTAGCGAGGGCGTCATCGTCCTCACTGCGGCAGTTGTTGGCGATACTGAATATACCATCATCGTCGTCATCATCGTCATCGGTGTCGATGCGATCGACATCAGCATCCATCACGTCGAAACCATTGTCGACGGGTGATGAGCATGAACCGGATCGGTTTTTGTTCGAGCGATTCCACTCCCCCGCGCTTAAACTAGATTAAAACTCTAAAGAAAGCGGGTAAACGTGAATAGCCTTGGCCATTCACGAAGTACGGTGAATGCATTGTCGACGCATGCACCGAGTTGTTGATGGCGAATTACGTCATCGGCAAGAACTCGCTTCAACTTGCAAACGAGTGGACGTACCCTCGAAGTATCTCTTCGAGGACGCGGTTGACGCGTTCCGTCTGACCATCTGTTTCTGGATGGTCAGAAGTTGACATCGTCAAACGTGATACAAGTGAACGAAACACGGATCGCCAGAACTCTGCTGTAAAGCGGGGGTCCCTATCAGGCACGAGCTCACGTGGTAACCCGTAAAGTCGAACAATAGTATCGATGAAGACACGAGCACATCCTTGGGCAGTGATTGACTCCTGTACAGCAACACGATGTACCATCTTGCTGAACCGATCAACAATTACAAGAATACCAGTATTCGTTCGAGCGTCTTCGAAACCCCGCAGACGAAGTCCATCGATCCGGACTTTCGACACTCTGCCGGAATCGGAAGAGGCTGTAAGGGTGCGCAGGATGAAGGACTAGGCTTCACCCGTTGACAAACTTCGCAAGCGCGAATGTATTTGCGCACAAACTCTTATTGGCGGGGCCAGTAGAAGTCACGACTCACCGTGAGGTAAGTCTTTTCTCTACCGCGATTCTTACTTGTTGGGGCATCGTGATACTCATACATGACGCAAAATCGCAAATAATCTTAAGCGGGAACGACGACACGAGGTTTGTCGCCGTTGACTGCTGTATAGTACAGCAGTCCATCGCGAACCGAATACCGTTCGGTTGAAGAGCAGTATTGATACGTCAAGCTTTTCAAAGCTTGACTGCGCGTATTGGCTAAATTATCCATCACCCGCAGAAGAGACTCATCTTCTGTGTAGGCTTTCCGCACGTTGTCAAGCAGATTCGACGACAGAGCAATCACTGTAAGTGTTGCTACAGTGGGATCACCCCGACTGTTGTATTGAGCAGTCGGCTCGAAATCGAGCCGACGCGAAAGAGCATCAGCGACGACACTGAGTCGTCCTGGCTTACAATCGACAGAGAAGTTGTATTCCGCGAAGAAAGACCGCCAGATTCGTACTCGATGCAAGAGGTGTGGACTGTTGACGGCCGTGCGTAAAGACGCATGGTCGGAATAAGTGATGAAGGGTCTACATCATAAGAGATACTCCCAAAACTTGGCCAGTGTACATTTCATGGCAAGAAGTTCTTTGTCATGCACTGGGTAATTTCGCCCAGGTGCTTGCAGCTGACGCGATTGATAATAGACGACGCGCTCAACGCCGTCTGAGTCGTACTTCATTATCGTGCAGCCGATTGCAAAATCGCTGGCGTCAGAGACGACATGGAATGGTCTGTACTGGTCTGCGATCGCCAACACAGGCGATTGCACCAAGATTTTCTTGATACCTTCAAAGGAGTGCTGCCACTCAGCACTCCATGTCAATCTCTCGTTTTTTCATAGCAGACGAGAAAGATGTACGGTCATCTCGGCGTAGTTGCGCGAGTACTTGTACAAGTACACCGCCAAGTTAAGGAGCTTTCGAAGTCCCTTGACGTCGACTGGCACAGGCCAGTAGCCAATCGACCGGATCCTTTCCGGATCAGGGCGTAAACCATTTCTACCCACGATGAAGCTAATAAGTAGCATTTCGTTCGCTGCGAGTATACACTGCTTGAGGTTCGCGAACAACTTATGCTCTGGCATTAGTGTAAGAACCTTCCGGTCGTGAATTCTATGAACCTCTACATCCGTCTTCCCATCCATAGCCCGGCTACGGACGAAGATATCGTCGAAGTGACTCGGTGCGAAATCTTGCACCGGTCTCAACAGATTTGTAATACATCCGTTAAATGTTGCGGGGGCGTTACTTAGCCCCTGTGGCATCACTAGCCACTTCCAGAGAATACCACTGGGGGTGCTCGCTGCTGTGTACGGGATGTCCCGTTCACGCATGAAGATCTGATAAAATTTATCCATCAGATCCATGGATGAAAAGATGGTACTTTTGCCATACCATCTATGATGACATCCTTTCTTGGGATCGGCGTTTGATCTGGTTCCGTTGCAGCGTTCAATTTATTGAATGCGTGCACTATCCTCCACCCTCCTTATTTCTTTTGCACACAGAAAGTCGGAGAGCTGTGTGGGGATGTTGATTCCCTCACATGACCAGCCACTAAGCGATCGGCAAAAGTTTTGTCGGTCGCTGTGACCTTTTTATCGAGGCAGTGTCAACTGTTTCATATAACAGTATTTCGAACTAGGTTTCAGTTCGATCCAATGCCGAGCGCCTCTTTTTCCTTGGGCAGCTCTCATGGCACGAATTCTGGAAAAACATCCCTAAATTCCACCAAATCCCAATACAAAGGATTTTTCTGCAAAGACTCTCAAGAATGAGACGTGTATCGCTCAATCGGGGTCTTCTCATTGAGGACACTCTCGTCCGTCGATGAGATAATGAGAACCCGTTCGTTCTCAGCAAACACTTGTGATGGTAGAATATCGGCAACGTACTCGTCCTCTGTGACGAGAACGCAGATCTGCTGATCATGTCACTGCGCAGATCTCGCACGAATCTTTTAGATTCTAGCGTTGGAAACTTGGCCACCTCCGAAGCTAACTTCGGGGGCGTAACTAGATCAAGTGTGTAAGCGCCTACCTATTGATCCGTCATTCACCAATACATTCACTGACTCGATTACCTTCGAAGAATATTCATCTGCAGGTGGTTGGGGATCCAAGCCCTCAATATAACTCTCTAGGGGGTTATTAATCTCAGGAACGCTGGACTTTTCTTCCAATACGTGTACTGACTGTGAGTGTACTGCCACAGTAACGTCCTCTTCGATCGACTCTCTTTCAGTCGATCGGGCTTGCTCTACGATCGACTCTATGTTAATCAATCTCGCCTCAACGTGTTGTTCATCTTGAACAACAGTAATCTCTCTTCTCGGATGCACCATTCTTGGTGTGCATTCTTGTTCCAGTCCACTCGGTCTCTTCGAGTGGTGAACCTCCGGGCAGCTTGTGTCTCTACACAGGTGCCGGAAGCTGGTTCCGCAGTGTTGTGGCCTTCTACACTGTGATCTTGTGCAATCGTACTAACAACCGTACCACAAGTAAGGTCATTGCACTCACTCGCAGTACATCCACGCGCTTGTGGACGCTCCAAGACATTCATCAGATGGCTATACAATGAACAAACGGCAGGCATCTTCACGGATCGATGCTGCCAGATGTCCCATGGCTGGTATTTTCTAAGCCATGGTAGACCGAGGATGACATCAAATTTGTCATCCAAATCTAATACGATGAAGCCATCATCGTAGGGATTTTTTCTAGGGTGTAGTGGATTCCCACTAAACGTTTGTTCACTGTAACGGATGCACCTGCAGCAAGGAATACCGTCATCCTTGTTTGAGGGAACTCTCTTGTAACATAGTCGAGTCTACTATCCCCTAGTGACTGGCGTCGAATAAAACTCGATGCCCCACAGTCAACTAGGGCGCGAAGTGACATTCCACTTGTCACTTCGATCTTCAAAATGATGAGACTCCTCATCACTAGGGGCAGCAACACACAGAGTCTGTGTGTTAAGAGCAATCTTCGTCAAGAGTCCTGCATATTCTCTTGACGTTGCTGGATCAGCAGGGTGCTCCGCCTCTACTGACCCTGTCCGTTTTGGACGGTCCGACTTGCTGTCGCGGCTTGGCAACATGGTCGGACCCACGCCTAGGACCTTTTCGTGGCCAACGGTCGTCACCACGTCCTGTCTTTGGGCATGTTGAGGTGCTTGGGACACTACACTCATGAGAGTAGTGTCCAATCTTCTGATAGCGATGGCATCTTGCCGTTTGCTTGTGAATCAGAGAGAGAGAGTTCTCGCTCTCGATGTAACCTAGGTCCATTGGTTCGGGACGTCCTGTTTCCTGTCGGCTCGTCGGACAGTAGTTTGACGAGTTAGCCTAAGACTATCTCACGTTGAAGTATTTTTGTTCCGCGTACGCTATCGCCTTTTCCAGCGCATGGAAGTCCTCTCGAAACATGTTGGTCTTCATTGGTCCGTCTATAAGACCGCGGATGGACACATTGATGAGCGTGTGCTTACTAACAGGGGATTTCTTGACACTACTTACAAAGTAGCGGAGGTGTTGTGCATGAGCGTGCACGTCACGCTTACCTTGCTTTAGCCTCAAGAGTGCAGATCGTGCTCTGGACTCGGCTCTCAGGGGCTCAAACGTCTCTTTAAGCTGAGACTTTAAGATCTCCAACGACTCAAACGCGTTTGGGTCGTATAGCTTGAACCCTGAGGCTCAAGTCTTTGCTCGTCCTGTCAAATTTGACACGGCGAAGGTGACTTGCATCTCGTCACCCTCTATTTGATGGGCCCTGATGGCGTCGGCCGACTCGACCAATCATCTCAAAAGGGAATCTTCATCGGTTGCGCCTTGAGATATCTGTCTGTGAGGTTCTGCGTTTAATCGTGTGCGTCGGCCCGCCGATCGACTGATAAGAGGCTTGCTTGTGAAGCAAAGCTATCTTTCGTCTTTCGACAGCAAGTTCCCTTTGCAGGAACCTGTTGGTAGCATCATCTTGTTGGTCTCTGTTGAGAGACTCCAACACGCCAGTGATCGCGGGTTCGCCCATGTGCACAATCATGCGGCCGACTACCTCCCATTTCGAGCCGCTCAGATAGAAGCAGCCTTCACGTGTGACGTGAAAGCTGTCGTCTTCTACGTTCTACATATTCATGTTGGACGGACGCTAAGTAGTCGTTGGACGGACTACAAGTGCTACCAGGTGTAACGGGGCACCCTTTGTTTGGGGTGCCGCGAAATTTCACGTGCACTAGTACTTGCAGAGGAAGCCTATCTACTCAACAACTAGGCCTATAAAAGGGTAAAAAGATGACCTGCATGTAATTTAATTAGTCGATCAATATAGTTAAAACTTTATCCAACCGCATGGAACTACATTGTCGGATGACGACATCTGCTCACCACTCATTGCGCGCGTCTAGCAGAGTTTGGTGGCAATCTAAGGTTAATACGTCTTTTATCAACCCATCTTATGCAGCTCATGAATATTATCCTAAAAGGTGATAACATTTCCTCAATATTACCTATCTCGGATAATATTGGTAGAATATATTCTTGCTATACAATATCCCTATTGACACCGTTTGGTGTCAATATCATGTAACGGGCTGCCCCGTTATAAAAGAAGTCTTTGCTTCGCATCTTGTTGGCGAAGCGGACCCACAACAACACACATCTCGATTAATTCGCCAAGTCGTACGCACTGCACACGATCATTTTTATGACCGTAATCACTTACCCCTAGCGTTTGTCATAACGCACATCTCGTTTTCAATATAACGGTACCTCCAAATAGTTACATGGCCTTGGATACACATTTGAAACTTCGCCTTAGCGAGAGCTCTGTCTTCTCACACCTATTTTGTAATATCTGAAAAGAATAAATTACGTTTCTTTAATCGTCTTCTGGACGCCAAATATGCCAAAATATACAGTAATTCGCCCGCCATCGTTGTAATTACTTTTTCGACCGACTTGAACCGGCGGCAGATTGTGAGGCCAAGCTGAAGAAATGCGGCGGCAGATTGTGAGGCCAAGCTGAAGAAATATAGTGGTAAGGACATTACTCGGCAGTAATTATCAATGTGTGGGTGTGTTTTGTCAGCCATGTTTACGATGTGGTGTATTTTAGGACAGTCCTACCGAGATTGGGAAGTACACCTACTGAATTTGGTATTTGTTTGTATACGTAGTGGGATACTAGTACTGAGACAAATTTTTTTCTCAATGCATATTCAAAGCATAGCTGGAGTGCCTCGAGAAATTTCATATTTCCAAGTAGCTACAACGGATGGAATGATGTAAGGAGTTTGGAATGATGTAAGGAGTTTTGATTTTTCTATATCATTCCAAGCTCTTTGTTGCATCGTATATCGAGATGTTGTTTGCAAAATCTAAAACAATCTGTCTGATGCCCCAGCAGTCGTCTGATGCAATCTTCCGTCAACACGAAAATCCATATTTTCCTAGCTCGTATCAACGCATTTAAGCAGGCATCAAGAATACATCGCTCTTCTACACGATACAACGTCCCTTACCATTAGCACCTCAGCTCGCGTATATTTCGTTATAACACGCTTCTGAGATGAAACAATTTGACACGTCGCAGCAGTTAAGACTAAGCTGAAGCAGTTGGGATCACCTATACCGTTGGATCTTGGACTTTGCAGCAAACGGCGTCTCCGTGTTGTACCAGATTGGGGGCTAAGGAACAAGTCAACAAACGGGCATTGACTGCAGCAAGCAGGGATAGGGTAAGGAAAAAAGATTCGACAGTTTTCAGCTGCCACTACACGCATGAGCTGATTGTGAAGTCTGAAAAGTGCCAAGTGCCGAGCAAGTCGTCTAAAAGAGCCAAGCTTACTAATGCATTAATATGTGTGCGAAGTACTATCTTGTCAGAGCTCTACGAAGAAACCGATTCCATTACTCTTGCTATCATCTGAAATGAAGTGGCCTTCGATGTAGACTCGCTTGTCAATTCCTAGGAGCGTCTTTGAAATACATCGAACGTCCAGGTAAGTTGGCGGTCGCGCGGAACGGAGACAGTACTAGGACCATTAAAAGTTGTCGCACTCGTACTAGACCAAACTGAATGTCACTGCTTTGTAACGCGACCATGTACACGTCAAGTAGTCGATGTACATATTGAGTGTCGTATAAGTGTGCACTTAACGATTTACTCTTTTGTCGGATGCTGCTACTCTATTTGTATGATCGCTGATCCTACAGGCTCCCTAAGCGCTACATGCCAGGTATTCCACAGCAGAAACATCATAATTGTATGGTCTCATTCTATTTACGTGATTCTTCCATGTCCTTGCAATTTCGTGTTGTGCAAGCATCGCGTTGCTTTTAGTTGGCGACGTTCATCATGCTGCATTGCCAGCATGAGCTCTTCCATGCAACTATTAGCCCAAGTATGATTTGAACAATGTTATAAAGGGGAATCATATAAAGTTGATGCTCCAACCGCATTGCTTACTGATCAAACTTGGGATCTGGGTACTCTATGTAAACGTACATACATGCGTATTTGAAAATACATGTTTATCTACATTTGTATAGACATATTGCGATTGCAGACAAGAAAGAGGGAGGAGACGACTTTAAGCGATTCTGCTACGATCCGTTGCCCTATTTTTCCAGGGCGTTAAATACACCAACCCATGTCAAAAACACAGTTCAAAAGCCCTTGTTTGCTGAGAACTCTACATACAACCAGGCGCAGCGCTCAAAACACAGAGGTTATATTTAGGCTACCCATTTGTCTTCTATTTACACGCCAACGACAGTTACAAAGATATCCCTCGACTTTGCTCTCTTCGATACTAGTGGAGCAATACTGCATACAGTCTTAGTTGAAACGCATCTCTCTGTTGCCTAAACTTTCGCTATGCTCGTGAATCAATGGAATATTAGGCTTTTGGCTTGGACAAGATAGTGATTTTCGTGACGCACGATCATCCTCAAGGTGATATAACTGCGAAAAACGACTTTGTATCGCTACGTATTCGGGCCCATGTAAGAGTTCAAATCAGATGAAGTTGTCTGCGTCCGTGTGGGTTGCAATTCGGATTGCAGACATTCATGCTGTTCCCACAATGCTGCCGTGTGTGACATCCATTACAAACTGGTTTCTGATGTCCGCAGCCGGGTCCACGACTATTATCTGTCTGTAAAAATGCATGACATGGCTTGTGGAGATCCGTCTGATTCGTGCAAAATTCTCGTTGTGTGAACAAATCTACATTGTGGTCATACTAACACACACTTACAGTGATATGATGCCACGATCTGACAAGGCTGAAGTGTAAACAAATAGTTCACGAGGTAGGTGACACAACAGCCACCTCACCTGATTGATTCACGTTGGATGGATCCTACTTAATGACGCCTCTACGTCTTGCTATGAACAATCTGCTGGATGGATTCAGGTGTCGATGGATAAGATGAAGCATTCAGTTAGGTACGGTAGATTAACGTGGTATGTAGTACATTCGCATTTCTACCTTTATTTCCTTAAGACCCTCTCGAGCAAGGCCAGTATGACAATCACCCCTCTGAAAGCCAGGGGTGTGTCATATCACTATATATAAAATCTGAGCAAGATAGGATAAGGTAAAGGTAGCCTCAGCATGGGACGCTGAGATGAATACGAATATGTCACCTACACCATAATGGTAACACCAGCAAGGCCCGACCTCCCCGCAGAGACGGTGATGATCAAGATCAAGAAGTTCACAATTGAATCCCGAAGTAAGTGGCTTCGCTGGACCAACCAGTTGTGCAACCTCGCCCAGAAGAAGCAGTGGACACATGAACAGAAGGAACACATAATGGTCACCCTTATTGACATCGACCTCGAAACGGAAGTTGAAGACACAGCAAAAGACGCAGTTTGCGAGGGCAGGACTCTTGAGCTGTTTTTAACAGAGGTGGGGTTATTGTTTGTCCCGCACGACTTCACTAAAGACCTGGTGACGAGATGTAAACGACGCTTAAAGGTAGAGGTGAGACTGTGCTCAACTTGTCTCAGCGACGTGAAGAAAGCATTCGGTTTTTTTCGGAGCTGCCACAGAGCACTGATGAAATCCAGAGATCAAGCAATGTCGCTACTATAAGCGCGGAATGCCTCGCGATTGGTAGAATGATTGGCTGCAGCAGGCGTCATTTTTAACCTTTGAATGGAATGGTGCTTTACATCACACGG